CGGGCCCAGGCCCGTCGGCTTCGGTCCCAGGCCGATTTCACTAAGGGGCGGTGTACTGAAGGGAGGTTTGTCCACCGCCGATAAATCGGGCATGTCCCTCAACAGGAGGCTATGCAAAAGTACTCTTGGAAGATAGTCTGGGGACGATGTTTCTACTGTTTGAGACTATGTTTGAAGATGTTTTCACTCTGTTCTACCTTTCCTCCAATCTCCAGGCTGCGAGCGCGCGGGGCGCTCTGGCTCGCGCGGCCTGGCCTGAGCCCGAGCCGGCGGCCTCTCCTCCCGCCATGTGGCCCTTCCGCGGCGCGGTTGTTTTGCCTCCAGCCGCCGCCGCGCGTCCTCTGCAGGCGGACCGAGGCATCGCATCGAGGTCGGCTCGGGGAGGGTGCCCTCGTGTTCTTTGGTGCGTGCTGGGTGCTCTCGCACGCCCTGGGGGGGGGCTCTAGCGTGTTCTCTCTCTCTCTCTCTCTCTGTGTGTTTTGGCCGGCGGAGGGCCTCTCCTGCTCTTCAGGGGTTTGTGTTTCTGGTCCGGCTGCGGCCGTAGCGGACCTGGAGTTCCAAGGGGGACCCCGTCGTGCCATGCGCAGTCAGAACAAAGGGAGTTGCGCAGATTGGGGGGGAAGTTGGCGGATGAGCAGGAGGATGTGCAAGGGAGGAAAAACCACCCGGACCGGATAATTGGCGTTTACTAAACGGCCTTGGGCGTTTATTAAACAGCTGTGACTTGTTTGATTCCTTCTTTGGGTGCGTTTACTGAACGGCTTCGCGTGTCGGGGTGGTTATTATCGGGGCGGATTTTCTGCCCTCTAGATGCGCAAGAGGAAGTGGAAACTGAGGACAAAAAACCGTGCGAGGACGAGCAGTCGCAGCAAGAGCTGGAGCAGAATGAGGAAATGGAGCAGGAGGACCAAAGGAAGGCGGAGGAGGGAAGCGGGAGTCAGCAAAATGGCCCCGCGCTCCGGCGAGAGCGCCGTTCTTCAACGAGGACAAATCCACCCCGACCCCCAGAAGCGGCGTTTACTAAACGGCCCCGTGCGTTTACTAAACAGCGCTTTCTTGTTTGATTCCTTCGTCGGATGCGTTTACTAAACGGTTGCGTTGTCGGGGTGCTTATTATCGGGGTGGATCTCCAGCCCTCTAGTTCTGAACGACGGGAGCACAGCGCCGATCCGAAAGCGAGCCCCGCGCTGTACCGGGAGCACCATTTTGAAACCTGGCAGCGTTCTCGGACGCTTTTGTGGCAGCCTCTTGGGCCGTCGTGAGGGCCTTCCTGGGGCTCCTCTCGGAGCCCTCTTGGGGCGTCTTGGGGGCTTATGATGCCGTCTCGAGGGTATCTTGGGCCGTCTTGAAGCGATATTGGGCTGTTTCAGGGCTCTCTTGGAGCAAGCCGCGCTTCAAGTGAGATCGAGGCGTCTGAGAGGCAAGAGGTCAAAGGAGATAGCGACTCCCCCTTTGGCTGGAACATGTCAGGAGGGGGATCAGGGACAGGGGAGGAGCGGCGACGGCGGCGACGACGACTCAAACGGAAAAGCGTCAAGGGAGGGGAGCGGCGACGACGACGCAAACGAACAACCTCTCACACATGCCGACCAGATCGGCGGATTCCCTGGCCTTCCCCCAGGCAGGCTTGGACATCCAAGGGGTCTGCCAGTTCGTGTCCAGGGATCTTGCACCCTTACCCCTAGGTGGCGACATCCGAACTCTACCCCCACCAACCATCGGTTCTATCGAATCGATGGGAGGCGGGGGTAGGGTACGGAGTTCGCCTCGGATTTCGCCACGTGTTTGACGAATTCCGAACCCTACCCCCACCGCCCATCAGGTTGCCTGAATCGTGGATCGGCGAGGCAATAGGGCTCGGATCTTGCGCCCTTGCAGTCAACACTGATATCAAGGATAAACGACTCTCCAAGCTTTCCCTTGCATCATTTCCTTTCGGCCCAGCCTTGGCAACTTCCGTTGGCCGCGCCCAGTTCGAAAAGGGTCGGCATGGCCTTCCAAGGCCCCTGCGACCTCTTTGTGCATACTTATTGTCAGTTTCGACTGTAGGGTTCGGATCTTGCACCCTTACCCCGCACGCCTGTGAAGAATCTTTACACGCGTCACAGGGGCGTTGTCGACAACTGCCGGGCTCCTCCCTCCTCGGAAGCGGTCCGGCGGGCTTCGGAGGGGGTTCGGGGCGCGCTGGGGAGTAGCATTTGAGCTCGATCGTTGACGCTTCCACTTGAACGAGCCGAGGCGAGGGGCATTCCAGGATGATGTTGATGCATGATGCTGACGTGAGTGACGATGGTGATACTAATGTTGATATGGATGTTGGTGTTCATGTAGTTGCTGTTTATGTTGATGATGATGCTGCTGATGTTGAGGATGCTGATGGTGATGATGAAGATGCTGATGATGCTGATGATGATGATGATCTTGATCTTGATCATGATGATGATGATGATGATGATGATGATGATGATGCTGCTGCTGATGATGATGATGCGGATGGTCTGAGGGGATAGGAGGTCGAGGACGTTCCACTCGGGCAACAAGCACGGTTAGCCAGCGTGGACCAGAAGCAGTGTATTTTTGGAAATAGGTGGTGAATAGGGGGTGCAATCTATGTTGTGCACTCTATGTTGTGCAGTACATGTGATGCAGTCTATGTTGTGCAGTCTAGGTGGTTTAATTTCACTAGAGAAAACCCAATCAGTGGATGGTTGAGAGATTTGTAATATGGATATTGAGATCGATAGTGAGAGCAATAGTTTAATCGATTGTGAGGACGATTGTAAGGTCGATCGTGAGACCGAGAGTGAAATCGATTAAATGAGATCGATAGTGGGATCGATCCTGAGATCGCTCATCTATGGTGAGATCGCTTGTGAGATCGATTGAAACATCGATTGTGAGATCGTTATATAGGTGGGTAATGAGATCGATGGTGAGACCGATCGATAAGAAGATAGACCAGGAACCTGGTAAACTGGGAACCCCGCCGCCCACCGAAATCGGGCCGGAGTCCGGAACCGGGAGTCGGGGATCCCGGAATCGGGAACCTTGGAACCTTGCCGCCTACCAAAATCGGCCCAGTTTTTTTCGCCAAATCTTTCAATATCCGCCAGGACCCTTTCAGTACGTGGTGCAATGTAGGTTTCGCAGTCCATGTGGTGCAATCTATGCGGTGCAAGCGACGTTGTTCATGCTTTGCGTTGCAGCCTAAGTGGTGCAATCCATTTAGTTTAATTCACCCTGCCAAAATTAAAGTCGTCAACTCCACTGCTCTCGCAATCGTCCCACCCATCCACTCGCAACTTGGTTTGCAACACCCATACGGCGACGACTGCGCTGTTTGCTCGGTGCTGGCTGGCGCATCGCTGCGGCCACGCTAGCCCGCGCATGCTCGCACGCAGCGGCCAGCTTGCTTGGCGCGACCGACGCAGCCGCAGTGGCGCTGACCGCTGGGCATCTCCCAACGGGCATTCCAGTGCGAGTCGGCGACTTGGGCGGGCGCGGTATCATGGCAACGTCGACAAAGGTAGACGCGATGACGATAGGAGCGGTGCAGGCGACGATGGTGACAGCGGCGACGGCACGGTTAGTGACGGCGCCAATGCTGATCACGCTGGCGACGATGATGTCGCGCGCTCGGCCGACGCGCGAGGGCGTCCCGCGTAGTATTATTTAACACGGATCGTGCGCGTAGGGCGTTTGAGTGATTCCGGCATGCGGCGCAAGAGGCCCGTCAAGCTGACTTGAATGAAAACGTGGAAGATCCTATGATGTCTGCAAGAACAGGAGCGCGAGTTCAGGCCTTATTTGACAAAAAAAAGCGGTGCCAAACGAAACCTTTTCTGTTTAGTATGTTTCTGTGGCCAGCAATTCTGCGGCGTCTGAAGGATTCCCGCATGCGCGCACGACGACATGCGCGGCGCGCCTTCCAGCGAGTTCTTGGCAACACGCGCGCAACGGCGCATTTGTGATTTCGGCACGCGCGCAAAGTGCCTGTTTGGTAGCTTTTTTATGAACAAGTTGAAAACCGATTTTTCTGTTAAGAATCCGTAAGAGCCCAAACTCAAGTTTTTTCACTCCCAAGATATAGCCGTTTGGGAATTATGTGAGGTTAGATATTTCCGAAACACTCGATTTTATACCCCATACGAAGTCCATGATTTGTTCGAATCATGTTGGCAAGCGCTCGCGCGACGGCGTGCTCGTGCGCATTTCAACCCCTTGCTTTCGCAGGGGAGTTGTGACACCTGATGATTTTTGATGTGCGAGTGTGCGCGTGTATTTTGTTGCGCAGGATCAAGAGGGCGATAGAGGGCCTGCCTGGGATGATACGGTTCCCGTTAAGCATGGACGATGGGGCAGAATCGTATTTACATTGTAGTACGAAGCGGGGGACGTTGAAGTCTGCGGGGGATGAGGGGGAAAGCGCGAATATAGACATATACACATATATATATGTTTTAGAAAGGTTCATCGAAGTCGGCGACTCGATGGCCACGGGGTGGCGGCGGCGACAACATCGACGCCAGGCCGCCACACCTACCCAGTCGACGGGCGGCGACGAAGCGTCGACGGGATGGCGACGGCGACGACGCCGTTGCCAGACCGGCACATCTGCCCAGCCCCCCCAAGTGCAAGTAAGAACGCGAGCCCCCTAAGTGCAAGTCGTGTTTGGGAAGTGGCATTCACATACTTCCGCAGGTCCGCGCGGATTTCACAGATCGGCGCCGCAAGGGGGGAGTCAAGCGCCGTTCCGAGAAGTTCTAGCGGACCCAAGACTTCAGTTTGCGTCACTGTTGGTTGCCCTATCAAGCCCTTCCGTGGCGACAGCGTTTCTGGCCGGCGCGTCGGGTTTGGTATCGTTTAGACGTTTGCGGCGACCATCGACGAGCATCTCGGTTAATCTTGCGAGAAAGTAAACGCACAAAGTCGAAACACGCATGGGAAATGGACGTCCGAGGGATGGCAACCAAGAGTTCCGGCCTTCTCTCGCGGCCGAGGTTTTCTCGCACGTCGTCGGCGACTTCGCGGTGGGGGCCGCCGAGGAGCAGGTCCAGCTGCAGTGGTTCAGGATGGCAACGTTCTCAATTGTGCAACGCATGTCATCCACGCGCAAGGGGGTTTAGGGGGAGGGGGGAAGGCTTCTGAGAAGCACCCCTGCTTCTGAGGCGGCGCGGACCTTATCTGTACAAGTAAGGCGGTTGTCTTCTAAGAAACAGCCTCCTTCAAGGAGCCTCCCCCCCTACCCGTACCCCCTTGCGCGCGCCGCCAAGCATGAGGCAGAACGGACTTCGCCTTCGAGGATTGAAGAAGTTACTATCTCTTCGGCGGAAGTAAAACGTGGGCGACTGCGCCGGCGGAAGCCGGCGGAGGCTCAGCGGAAGGCGGCGGCAGCAAACGTCGAGATCCGAAGAGATGGCACGTTATTTTGTTTCCTGGTTTTTGAACCCGTTATGTGCGTAAACGGATGTATGCGCTCGTAACCTCAGAACGTGTGTTAGTGCCAACGTGTACAGAGCTGACAAGCCAGGGTTTCGGGACGGAGTGGACCTGATCCACACCACAATGCGCGTATGCATTGGCGCATATCAGCGTAGTGCAAATTTCATTTGTGCACGCGCCCAAGCTTTGCGATCTTCACGCGTTCACGCACACGGCTATGCATTTTTGTACGCAGATGTTTGCGTACATGCGTGTGTGCAGCAAATACCAGTTTCGCACATGGCAATCTTGGAAGATTCAGTTTACACATTTCTATATGTACAGTTGTCCAGCACTCTGTGCATGCGCAAGTCGGGGCGCGCTGTATCTGTTTTATGCCTGCCCACGGGGTCATGGCGAATACAGGGGAGAGAGAGGACGATGGGAGAAAGGAAATGGGAAGGACAGGAAGGTAGGGTGATTATGCATGACTTGGGCATTTCCTTTGAGGGCGTGTCGTTAAAGTGCTTTGTGAGACACAGGGGAATGTGTGTATCATTTGTGACTTCGCGGTCGCAGATCGCAACCGAATTCGTTGCATCATCACGTCTGCTCAAACGGACCCGAAGGGAGTGGAGACACATGAGGCGAATGGCCCATGTCTATATACGGCATGGGTTGGATGCTGCAAAACTTACCATTATGTCAAGATGGGTGGGACGGTCTATGCGGCTTGAAACTCTTCTTTCTTTCCATCCGCTTCTGGCCTCCCTTCTGTCCTTCCCATGCCGCCTCCAGCTCGGGGAATGGGAGAGAAGTGAGGTAGTGATGTGCACGCTGGCTTTGCAACACACGCTCTTCAGATTTCGACCAGCTGGGCTGCTGAGCGGCACAGCCAGATTCGCCGTCGCGTTCATGGCGCATTTCAATGCTCCTGCCTTCTACGCCGACTTGAAAGGCCGTTGGCGATCATGCAAACCCATCATGGCACTCGCCAGCCAATTCGAGTAAGTGAAAGGGGATAGGGATAGAGAGGGAGACTGTGAATTCTACTTGTCGTGGTCCTCCGCCTGCGTCCTTTCCTCACCCATCTCAGTCCCCTCCGCCTTCTCGAGCTCGGGATGGACCGACAGTCAGGTGGGCACAGTTGGAGACGGAGTCGGGAGTGATGGTGGAGACGCGCCAAGAAGAGGAAAACGACGCGGGGGAAGCATGAAGGAGGGAGCCACAAGGTTTTTGAGTCTTGCGAAGGAGGAGGAGGAGGAGGAGGAGGAGGAGGAGGAGGAGGAGGGGGGGGAGCAGGACGAGGAAGAGGAGGAGCGGGAGTGGAGAAGCCAGCTCGCCAGGCCGAGGGAGAGCCGGGTGGCCCCCCACCCCCCCCCCGCCCCCGCCCCCACGACATTGAGCATCCCGGTGGGCGCGCAACTTCCAGCGGGCGGTGCAGTCCGGCAGGCCCGGCGTGCGCTCTCCTCTCTTTTGGTCGGCAGGGTGCTCGCTCGCGGGCCCGCTTCCGATGGCCAGGCGAGGGGGGGAGGGGCGAGCGGGCACCGGCCACGCGCTGGCGGAGACGGAGCGCCCAGGACAGCTTCTGCGTGGCTGTTCGGCAGCGGGGCACCATGTGTATAGATCAGGAGGGAGGCAATCACATAGACACAATGAATAGTCGTCGACTCCCCAGAAATATGGGAAGTGGGTCGGAAGACAAGAGCTCAGAACAGATGGGACAATATGGAGAATCCTGTTTTTTGTGTTCATTTGTTTGTGTGTCCCAGGACCCCGTCAGTATATACCACATCACAGAAGGCTCGTTCGTCTTGGATTAAGTGTATATCGCTGAATAGCGCAACATAGCGCTGAATAGCGCCAAATAGCACCCAGTAGAGCCCAGTAGCGCCTAGTAGCGTCTACGTAGCGACCAAGAGCGACCGACAGTGTCCAGTAGCGCCGTGTGAGGGAGATGCAGTATGCCGGCTTTGCGGCGGACGGTGCGCGCTATTGGGCACCATGTGGACGACCAAAAGCTTCCGCGAGTTGCTTTCTGACCATGTAGCCATCCCCTTGGCATCGTTCGGACGTGTGCTTTTTCCTCGGCGGGGATCACTGAGGAGCAACCCGGATCACCCTGCAGACAAAGCGCGAGCGAAACAAAAAAAGACACGGGGGGAATGTGATTGATAGGGGGCCACATGCGAACTTTACCCCTACCCCCCACGATTTCTGAGGGGGAGGGTGGGGTTCACGTCGTTCGGGAGCTCCCGAGCGAAGTGAACCCCACCCTTGGCGGGGTGGGACGGGCGAAAAGCTAGTGGAACGAGACGGTATGGCCACGCAGCGTTCCCTCTCACTCTCTCTCTGGGAGGCCACCCTGGCGCTCAGGCGGGGGCCCTCCCTGGAGGGGCTTTCCCGGAGTGAGGGCGGAATTGTGATGTTTTTTTGTTCATGTTTTTGTTGTCCCCCCTATTCGTCGTGTAGGAGTGGGCACTCATGGTTTGTTCATTGGGGGTGAGAAGCAATGACGGCGATAGTCAAGTTCGTCCTCCTCTCTCTCCTCCTCGCCCACCTCTCTCGACCCCTCCCTTCCCTCCTCTCCCATAGTATTTCCTCTTCTCCTGTCCTCCTCTCGCTTTCTTCATCATTACCATCATCAGCAGCAGCAGCATCAGCATCGGGCCACGAACTTTGTGAGGGGTGTGCCAAACTGGGGGCCCACGAGAGGCGCGGACGCATGCGGGCACCGCCACTTGGGCCCTCGGTGGAGCCCCCTTATGGGGTCACGAACCGTGTCTGGGTGTGCTAAAAAAGGGGTCCAATGCCCTGCGCGACAAGCATAGTCGGCGTAGCATTCGCGCCCATATTGTGGGGATGTCTCAGGCGGTTTGGCTGTTTCGGCCCCGTCCAATTCTTTTTATTTACGGAGTCCGATGTTCATTGCGATATAGCAGGCATATCACTTGGGCACCACATGGGGCCACGAACCGTGCGAGAGGGTGATGATGATACCAAAGGGTGCTGATGATGAGAACAAAGGATCAGCATGATAAGATTATTCAATCTACGATTCGTGCTGTCTCTCGTGGTAATAAAGTTCGGTCTCGCCGCTCCGCCCGCCTATCAAATAAAATAATCCCGTGGATAATCATGACTCTGGGGTTAAGGGGGGAATGCTTTATTATCGCGGGCATGTGGTTATTGAAGACGCCTACGGCGAGTCACCGCCGCCCCCCTGCCTGCTGGGTAGCGCCTCTGTGGCCAGACCTTGGGCCCCAGCTTGGCCAAGCTATCGGGCTATGTATTCCCCCAGCCGCTCTGCTGGAAACTCTTCGGGGAACACTTGGGGGTGGATGAGGGAGAGGATCAGGAGGGAGGAGGAGGAGGATGAGGAGGAGGAAGAGGAGGAGGAATATGAAGAAGACGAGTAGGAGGAGGAGGAGGAGAAGGAGGAGGAGGAGGAGGCTTTTTGGAGAGCCTCTTGGGGCACTCTTGGGACTTCCTGGGTGCTTCCTGGGGGCCTCTTGGAAGCCTCTTGGGGGCTTCCGTGGGCCTTTTAGAGGCCTTTGAGGGCTTGTTGGGGGCCTCTGTGGCCGTCCTAAGGCGTTCCTGGCCCGTCGGACGCCGTCGGAAACTGTCTTGGGGGACTTCTCTGAACCGACTTGGAGCACTCTTGAAGCGCTTCAGGGCCGTCTTGGGGGCCGTCTTGGACGTCTTGACGGCCTTTTGATCCGTTTTGGGGCCCTCTTTGGGCTGTCTTGAGGACATCTTTGGCAGCATGGGGCCATTCAGGAGAACAGACCTTTGGGGCCATCTCGGGACGATCTTGGGGCGCTCTTGGCCCGTGTTTGGATGCCAAGATATGTTAAACACCGAAGGGACATTAATTATTTGGGCGTCTTCGGACCCTCCTGGAAGACCTCTTGGGTGCCTCTGGGGCTCTTGGAGGCCTCGTGCCGTCGTGAGCCGTCTTGGAGGCTTCTTGGGTGATCTTGGAGGCATCTTGGACTCTCTTGGGCCGTCTTGGAGGCCATCTGTGACCATCGTGGGCGAACTTCGAGGCCATCTTGGCTGTCTTGGAGGCCATCTTGGGCCACCTTGGAGCCATTTAGAGCAGGAACTTTGGAACCACCTTTGGAGCAGCGTTCCGGTTGGCCGGCGCGCTGGGCCGAAGCCCCAGGGGGAGTCTTCAAAAGAAGCCCGAAACATCAGTTGTTCAGCACGCCGGGCACCCCTGTGATAAATCAACAGGGAGCGGCGGATTTGGTGGTTTTCGGCCCATCCGGCCACCGCGCTTCGGTTGCAGGTCAGAGGCCTCTTGGATGGTTGTGAGGATCTCTTCGGAGGCATTTCGGATGCCTCTTGGAGGCTGTTTTGGGAGGTCGTGAGGCGTCTTGGGGGCCTCTTGGAGCCTTATTTGTGGCATCTTTGGGGCCTCTGGGGGCATCCTGGTCGCATCTAGGGGGCTTCAGGGGGGACCTTGGGGCGTGCTTCTGTGTTGTTGTCGCCGTTCCCACTTGCTCGCGGCACTCGCAGTCCCCTGCGCGCAGTGCCGATGGTATTGCCATAGCCTCGCGCATTTGCTTATCAGTTGGATGTTGAACGCTGTATTCTAGCGCTCTGCCCTTCATCTCCGCCCCGTTTGCTTGGAGGACGTTCTCTTCAGCAGTGGCGGAGTGTTGGCTCCGTTTGTGCAGTGTTCCTTCTTTCTCCCTCCTCCTTCCTCTTCCTCCTCTTCCTCTTCCTCCTCCTCCTCTTCCCGTTTCCTTCCTCCTCCCTCCTCCCTCCTCCTCCTCCTCCTCCTCCTCCTCCTCCTCCTCCTTCCCCTTCCCCCTCCCCCCCCCCCCCGAGGCCGAGTCTGGAGCGATCTTGCTTTTGCCCCCGCCACGCTCGGGTTTTCGATTGGCTGCCATTTGTGCATTTTCTATGAACGGTTGGACGCCGCCGGGGGGTTCGCACGCAACACATGTTGTCCGGTCTTGATGGCAGCGCGATGAGGAAGAAACGGCGTTCAAATTCAACCGTTGTTTTGCTCGTGCCGCGCCCAGCCACTCTAATACCGATGCCTCTGTATGTGTTTTCGTTTTGGGCGTGCGGTGGCATCCGCGTTGTGGCGATAGTTGTGAAAGCATGTTGTGCGCTCTCATCTTCTCCCTCCAAAGAAAACTCCCAAAAGTGGGGATCTTGTTGCGTGGGGCTGAACGTGTCAGCCCGTGTTCCTGATCTTGGGGTTCTTGGGCTGTTTTTTGTTGATATTGGGCGCCTCTTGGGCCATGCTGGACGCCCTGAATACCGAGAAGTCGCGGTAATTCGAAAACCCATATCTGCATTTGTTTTCTTGATGCAATGACGATCTGGGTTTCTTTGGCCGAGTTCCAGGGCCTCCAAGACGGCCCAAGAGGCGCCCAAGATGCGCCCAAGAGGGCTCCAGGGCGGCCCCTGGGGTCATCTGAATACATGGTGGACATGCACGTCCCGAGCAATGCGGGTTTGGCCTCTCCTAAAGTCACACGGGACCCCCCCGAAAGTGCCCATGGCCAATAGTATTTACAGTATTCGATTCATTGTATTCAATTCAGACAATTCGAAAGGACCTGCGGACATTCCAACTCGCGTCTCACGGCACGGTGTCGGCTTCTGCCAAACCCAGTTTGGGACACATTGCATTTCCAGAGGACAGTGCGTTTGAAAAAACGAGTAGCAATAGCTCGCAAGTTCAGATCCTAGGTCGTGACGGTTGTTCACATTGTGATACGCGCGAGGTTTCGAATCTGGGAAGTTACGCGCGCGGGCCTTGCGAACGATGGAAGATGCTGGCTGTCTATTTTAGCGGCTGCGCAGACTGCGATGCAGGAGCACGTTCGACCGATGAAACAGTCTGCCAGGTGTGCGAAATCGGGAAGTTTCCGGATGTCGGCTCTTTTTCTTGTCAGTTTTGCCCACGAGGGAGAATGCTGAATAGTCGCGCTACCATCTGCGAGGACTGCCGCGCTGGCAAGTATTTTCCTGACGGTGGACAGCGCGAAGCCTGTGAGTTGGGCCAGTCTTCAATGCGGGATCTCTCTGCTGTGAGGCGTGCCCGTCCTGGGTGCTGCCGTCTGGCTGTGCTAGTAGTTGCGAGGATTGTGAATGCACTCGACCGGTGGACCGTTGTGCCAGGAGTGAGAAGTTGGCGCGTTTCCGAATCATGTCGGCTCGTAGTGTCGGGCATGCCCAGGCGATCTCCAGCTTGCGGACAGTCGAATGTCTTGCGCTTGGCCTGCTGACATGCTGCTTGTGGCGGACAGCATCTGCCTGTCTTGTCCACGGGGTGGCATGTGCGATGAAGGGAAGATTGTGTACTCGCCTCCCAGACACCTGACTCCCTGCTGGGGTCAATACGTTGCCCGTCGGGTGCCCCGTGGGCGAGAGTGACGGCGCGCGCCTCGAAAGCAACAGCTGCTCAAGCGGCTGCACAGGCAATGCATGCGCGGTGTCATTTGATGGATTCGTACGTGCTGGTTCGCTGTGCGTACCATGTGCTGGGTTCGCACAATTTGCACGTTGGGATCGCGATATTTGCGGCGGTAACCAATGGTCTGCCTGCGCTGGGGGATGTCAGACCTGACGCATTGTCTTGGCTGGATTGTCCGATGCCACGAGAGCGTCTAGCTGCTCAAGCGGCTACGCAGGCAACGCATGCGGGGTGCCTGTTGGTGGATTCGGACGTTCTGTTGCGCTGTGCGTACCACGTGCTGGAGTTTCGCAGAATTTCTACGTTGGGATCGCGACATTTACCATGGATCATGCGGGAGTGAATGTTCCTCTGCTGGAGGAGGTGGTATCGAGCGCCAAGCGGGGGCACTTCGCGCGCGCGGTGAAAGTGCAAGGCTGCAGAGTGATTATGTTTACGCTGGATTCCTCGCGATGGGCTGCGATGCTCTACTCGACGCACCCTCGTAGACTGGATCTGGGTTTCGAAGACTATCGTCCGACCTCGCACACCTGCCATGTGCAGTCTATCAACTTCCCGGCTACGTTTCCGCCCTGGTTGCGCGATGTTGCCCGGCATGCGGTTCATGATGCACGTGGCCGCATTTTCAGCTTGTGGGTCTGATGCGCTTGTTCTCGGACTGACAGCGCGCGTGCATCGCGGGCGCGAAGCTCGCCGAGCCCACGAATGCCGGAACTAGATGCTGTCGCCGCATGCGGGATAAAATGGTTCTGTCGTGCTTCTAGCGCACGCGTTTGGCTCACGCGCTGGCCGCGTTGGCGATGGTCTTGTACTTGCTAACAAGGGGAGGTGCTTTCGACTGTTTCCTGGGGGAGCACGACGGTGGAGAATGCCATTTGCGCCTGAAGTGTGGGATATGTTTTTCCACTGTGTCGTTCAAGCATGCGATGCAACTCGCGGCGGTGTCAGCAATCATGATATGTTCCGTTGCCGCGCCCGCGTCGAATTTCATTATATTCTTTGTCGAGGAGAGTCAAGAGGGCAAAGCAGCAACAACGATTGGCAGGCATCGACCAGGGCACGCGTCGATTGGAATGATTCTGCGGCGAGAGAAACAGGCAAACAAAGCATGTGTTCGTCTTTGGGGGCGCTAGAAAAAGGATGACCACTTGCGGCTTTAATGCGTGAGTCTTCATCGCAAGATGTTACTCGCATCGGTTGCTTTCATCGCCAGCAAGATTGCGGCTGGCTACATATGTTCTCAATATGCAGCGCGTGCGACTGCGCCGGGTTTCTGGCGTGAATCGCGCTCGCACGCTGGCCTGCCTCGCGCCCATCTTAATGTTCATGTCAGTTCGCCGCCGCCGCCGCGAGCAACGCGGATGGCGCGCGGCGTGATCGACGCCGCGCGGAGCTTCACGAAGCGCTCCTAATCGGCTTTCGCAGTGGTGCATTTGCCCTCCTTGCACTGCGCGTTATTGTCCGGGCGATTCCCCCAGATCTTAGTTCAATCTGGCCGCGAAGTCCAGCAAGCCCGGTCATGGACGAGGATGAGGACGAGGACGAGAGTGATGAGATCTGGACGTGCGTCCAGTTGCGTGACAATGTCTCCGCTGCAGAGGTTATGCGCGAGGCCGCCGAGTCGTCGCTGCCGAGCCCCGCCGGGAACGGTTTTTACTTGGGCAACATGTGCAGCGGCAGGGTCACGTTGAGCAGTGTGACAGGACGCAGGCACTGTCGCCCATCACGTTATCTCCGGTTGATTTTTCCGCGTGGGAACGTCGCAGGTCCACTGGTTCAAGCAGCGTTTGATGGCATTCGACGCGGTCCTCATCAGAGTCGCGATGTTCGACGGGCATTCCAGCGATGCGTCCGCGGACGCGCCGGGCCCGGCATCGCCCCCGCGACGTGCCATCAACGAGGAGCTCGTCGCCGGCAGGCTTGGAAGCGCGATGGCCGCCGCCCGTAGCGCTGGCGCTTCGACGACGGTTCTGCCTGGCGCAAGGTGCGGAAGGAGCATGGGTGACCCAGCGATTGTGGGCCGCATCTTTGGAGAGGTGTTCTATCAGGAGTATTGGGGCACGCTGCGAGACCTTGGCGACGTGCTGGAATTGGAAGTTCCAGCAGGCGGTGGAGACGACCATAGTAAACGAGGCATTTCGTTGAGGAGTTGCGGAGGCGGCAAGATTGGAAGGTCAGGATGGGATAGTCCCGTTGAAAGTACCTTCAGCGGGAGTGCTGTGGTGCCACATTCCCGCGTTTCCGCGTGGCCTTCGCATCGGCGGCAAGCTCGGGGGGAAGTTAGAAAGGGCGGGCCTCCCCAGAAGGCTCGGAAGCCCCCCTGCCTTCTGGGAAGTTTTCTCAGTTTCCCCAAAAGACACAGACAAGTGTTTAGAAGTCGCGTTCTGCGAGGTGCCGTCGCCTTCTGAGGCCTCCTCCTCCTCGCTTGCCGCCCTCGCTCGCCGCCGATCCTAGATCTGCGGGCGCACGTGTAGATTGCCGAACGCTTTCCACTCCTCGCAAAGTGCCTACTCGCAAACTTTCGACACGCATGTTCGGACCGCTGCAATGGATCGCGCATCCCCCGCGGCGAATCCAGGCCAATTTCGAGTAGTTACTTCGCGAGTAGGAGAACGATCTTGTCTAGCATATCGAGTGGATGCATAAGACCTCCGAGCGATGCAGCGCGAAGCGGAAGTGAGGTCCGTGCTTGGCTGCAGCAGCGTCTTCTTCTCTCTCCTCCTCCTCCGTTTCCTCCTCGTCTCTCTGCCACAGTACTAGGTCGGGTCTGTCCCTTTACAGGGGGAATATTCCAACATCGCCAGACAACAGTCAGGGGACGATTTTTTGTATTCATTGATATTTCGGAATATTATAATGGCCTCCGGCCAGTGCCGCCGATCTGGGGGGGTCCAGATTCGGTGATCTTCCCGTCTCTGTTGTATCCTCCCTCCTGGGTTATTATGGTCCTCTTTCTCCTCCTCAGGGTGGATGCCTGGAGCGGTGCCGGGGGGGATCTGGGGAGGGTTCCGAGGGGAGGGTCTTGGGGGCGGTAGCGGCTAGATCTGAAGGGGGTCCCTGGGACCCCCCGAAACATCTTGGGGATGCGCATTATGTATATATATATATATATATAAGGCCAGATGACGGACCGCCCCCCCCCACTCCCCCCCTTGTCTGGGGGGGTCCGGATGCGCAAATCATGAACAAAACGCCAGATGCCCCCTCCCCCTCCCCCCGTCCCCGGCAGAGCCACCCTGGCGACCCTCCCAAGCAGAGCTGAAGCTTTCGCTTATGTTCAGAGCTGAAGCTCATGCCGAGGTTCCTTGTAGCTCACACGCCGGATCAGCGGATCTGTTGAGTATGTTTAGTTTTTCGTCCAAAATCCCCTTGTAGGGGGACACGCCCGACCTAGCCACAGTACCTATTTTTCCCGTGCCGCCGCGGGGGGGCCTTCGCGCCAGAGTCGGCTGGAATGCACCGTTGTGGGGCTGATTTAGGGGAGGTGGTCCTGCGTTCGGGGGGTGTTCCTTAAGTGGCCGCGCGGCACCCCGCTGACGAATGGGGGTCCGACGGCCGCTCGAGTTTTGTTGCAAGGCCCCGATGGCCACGAGCCAAGAAGTGGTTTGGCCGCGATGGGGCGCAGAGGGGGGGGGGGGGGGGGGCAACTCCCAGTGTTTCCTATCTGTAGCAGTGTTGCCTGGAGCCGGCCCTCTGTGCCTCAAAGTTCTGGGGCCTCGAGGCCGCTCCTTAGCTCGTGTGTGCTTTTGCTTCGGCCCGGGCGGCTGGGGCGGGGGGAGCGGCGGAGGCGCTCGGCGACCGCGCGCGGGGGCATCGCCCCCTTTTTCCCTCCCCCGCCCGATCCTGTTCGGCAGCCTCCAGCAGGACCGCCGCCCTCGCCCTCTTTCCGTGACTGGGTGCTGCCCCGAGGCCCTGCAGGCGGGGGTGGCACCCAGGTGTAGCCGCCGCCGGGGGGGGGTGGGGGGCCTTTTGCCCCTCGCTCCCCCTCTCAGAGGTGTGCGTTCTGCGCTCCGCGCGACGTTTCCTCGCGCGACTCTTTTCCTTGCAGCGTTTTGTCTCCTTATCGTCCTTCTGTTCCTCCTCCTGCTCCTCCTCCTCCTCCTCCTCCTCCTGCTCCTCCTCCTGCTCCTCCTCCTCCTGCTCCTCCTCCTCCTGCTCCTCCTCCTGCTCCTTTTCCTTCCCTTCCTCCTGGGCCTTGTCCGACCCGGCCGGCAACCCGAAGGGGAAGACTCCCCGCTGCTCCTCCCGCCGCCTTGCCCCCCTGCCCCGAGGCCGGAGGCCCTCGAGCTTCGCGGCGGTGGCGGCCATGCCTGGGCGCTGCGCGCAGCCGCCCCGCCCCCCCCGTTGCCTGGGGCGGTCTCTCCTGAGGGGGCGTGCAGCGCAGGCGGGGAGAGGCGAGGGGAGGTCGATCGAGGGTCGAGGAGGAGGAGGAGGGGGGGGGAGGAGGAGGAGGGGGAGGAGGAGGAGGAGGAGGAGGAGGAGAGGAGGAGGAGGAGGAGGAGGAGGGAGGAGGAGGAGGAGGACGAGAAGGAGGAGGAGGAGGAGGAGGAGGAGCAGGAGCAGGAGCAGGAGGAGGAGGAGGAGGAGGAGGAAGAGGATGAGGAGGAGCTCGAAGGGAGGACGAGGAGCAGGTTCGAGCAACCCCACGTACTGGTGGAAACAAGCTACGAGCGACGACGCAACTCGGCCTTGCTGAGTTGCGTCGGCCATTTCCCACCCTCGATCCTGACGTTATCCTCTCGACGGTGAGGTACAACACGATGGCAGCACAATTTGCGCAACTTACGGATTTGCGAGTGAGCGCAGTGGCCACACCAAACAGACATTATGTGCTTTGGATCAACTCATTTGACGTTTCCCTTCCATTCACCCTCCAGCGATATGAGACCGCCTTTCCCACAGGCCCACAGGGATATAACAACACGTCGAATTGACATGGGTGGAAGCAGGATTAGATCCATTACCCAGAAGCGGTCGCCTTGGACGCCGACCCGAAGCACACTTGACACCGATGCTTGGAATCGTCGAGCATACTCATGGAGGAAAGGGCACGGACGGCGGAGAGGGCGGGATGGGGAGGAAGAGGTGGTTCTTTCTCCGCCTGCAGGGCCTCGAGGGTCGTCCTGAGCAGACGGTGCCTGATGAGGTAGGCTGTCCGCTCGATCTTCATGAGATTGGCCTGTATGTCGTCTGGCGCACAGGCGGACGAGGCTGCTTGCGTCGCGAGACCGTCAGCGCACGAGGCGGCGCACGAGTCCCTAATGACAAGCCACCGGGGGCTCCCTGCGGAGTCGGCTTGGTCCTCAGCGTGTGAGCTCACAACCGGCACAGAGATCAAGCCAGCTATTCTGCTCTCGATTCGAATTTACTTTGTGCCACGGATCTCTGTTGGCACCGTATGGTCGTCGGTACACGTGGGCATGACAATCAGAAATTACAGCGTCCCAGTCGGTCACATGTGTCATGTAGCAGCAGAACCGACTGCTTCGAACCCAGTAGTGGCCGCAGCACCGAGGCCCGAGGAACGCAAGGAACGAAGCTTGACAAAATCTTGATGGCGACGCCGACTCCCACACAGCGCGAATCTGCAGACAATCTACGAGCTCACGCACTTCCGATTGGCTGATCCCCAGACCCCTGTCCCAAGCATCCTCGACAAATCCAGAGCTTGTGCCTGAGATCTCCCACGCCTCTGAGCTGGCGCTGATGGGATCTCCGTCCGACTCGTTGGCATCGTGCCTCGTGATCAGACTCGAGGCGTTGGCTCGGTAGGCTTCACGGAGGAGATGGTCAGATTGTGTGTATGTGGCCCCCGTGGCCTCCGGCTCACCAGGCCGCCCCCTTTGGCCCTGGTGCGTGCCGTGGCGGATTTTTGTCCGCCTGCTGGCGCCCTCCCCCCGCCGTAGGGTGCCTCGCTAAACGTGGCGGACAGGGCGTGGAGCTCAAGTACCCCCGGCGCCGATGGAAGTGGGATCTGGTCTCGACGCCGCAGCGTGCACACCGCCATCGCATCCTTCTTGTCTCTGTCTGGGCCAAGATCCGCCAGTGGTGATGGAGAAAAGCAACTCACTCAGCCTCGCGCCGTGCGGATCAGTCAGAAGACGCCTCAGCGAACGTCGGAGCGAATGGTCGTGGGCACCATCCTCCAGCCCCTTGGCGCAAACATTCGTCGCAGAAGCTTTCCATTCCTATTTCTTAACTGTTCTCGCAAAATCATTCAAAAGTGGTTCATGACCGCCCTCAGTGATATGATTCCCTGAGAGAGCGGAAGGGGGGGGCCTCCAAGCTTGAAGATCTCGCTTCTGATCAGCAGGGGCCGTGCAAAGCCACAAAACCACCCTGACCGAACAACTGGCGTTTATTAAACGTCCTTGGGCTTTCCCTAAAGAGCGCTACCCTGTTTGATTCCTTCTTTGGGTGCGTTTGCTGAACGGCTTCGCGCGTCGGGGTGTTCATTATCGGGGTGGATTGTCTGCCCTCTCTTCCAGACTGCAGGGCATGACCGCCCCATTGCGCCCCCAGACAACACCAGCTCTGCTAGGGTGGCGAAGCACTGGGCGAAGCAGACTTCGCAAGCGCGCTCTGGGCAGGCAGTACTCTGGACCCCCATGGTGAGAGCGCAAATCTGGAAGCGCGGTTCGGAGCGAGTGCCCGAAGCTCGAGCTGCCACGAAGAGGAGAGAAATGAGGCGAGAGGAGCGCAGGACGGGAACCTGCAGGACGAGGCGGCAGGACAGGGGAGGGGAAGGGAGGCGGGGGAGGGAGAAGTGGAGGGACAAGTGAGAAGGAGGTGGGAAGGGAGAAGGGGAGGGAGAGGGTATGAGGAATAGTGGGTGACGATGGTGGATTCAGGCGACCGCGCACATGGATCACGGGGGCGTGGATGAGGCACCGGCCGCATTATGGGGGAGGGCACCTCCCCCGATCCATGGATTTGGCGACCGTGCGCCAAATCCATGGATCGCTAATCCATGTTTGCTCGTCCCCGAGTGGATCGAGTAGGGTGGTGGAGAATGGCCGCAAGTGATGGGCATCCCCTCTTGCCCTTCAAACGAACTGTAGATGTAGCAGGCGTCGCTGTAGTTCAACCAAGCCATAGGAGCAGGGAAATGGGCCGGAAGCTGAAATGGTCAAATTGCAGAGCTTGCTTCGGTGATGACTTCAGGAGAGCTCAAACATTGACGGGAGAGGATGAGGGCCGCGAACCGAAGGGCAAAGGAGGACTTGGGGGATGGGCCTTTGGACGTCAAGTAGCAGGTGTGGATTCAGCATTACGGTACGGCCGCAGTCGAGTCCAGGCTCACGCGCCCAGGGGGCATAAGCCCCGTCGGATCGCTTACACGATCGCCTTCTTGGTTTACGTATCGTTTGGTTTCTCCGGCTACGCCGTCTTCGGCGAGAGCGTTCCAGGCGAGGCTTGTGAGGGGGAGGCTAGGAGGAGGCGGAGGTGGGAGGAGGGGGGGATCATGCCCAGGGAGGGGAGGAAGGAGGACGGGAGGAGGAGGAGGGAGGAGGAGGAGGAGGGGGAGGAGGGGAGGAGGGGAAGGGAGGGGAGGGGAGGAGGAGGAGGAGGAGGGGGAAGAGTCGTCGTCGTCGTCGTCTTGTCGTCGTCGTCGTCGTCGTCGTCGCCTTGTCGTCGTCGTTTGGTCGTCGACGTTTGGTCGTCGTCGTTCTGTCGTCGCCGTCGAGTTGTCGTCTTCGTCGTCGTCGTTTCGTCGTCGTTGTCGTCGTCGTTTGGTCGTCGTCGTTCTGTCGTCGCCGTCGAGTTGTCGTCTTCGTCGTCGTCGTCGTCGTCGTTTCGTCGTCGTTGTCGTCGTCGTTTGGTCGTCGTCGTTCTGTCGTCGCCGTTGAGTGGTCGTCTTCGTCGTCGTCGTCGTTTCGTCGTCGTTGTCGTCGTCGTCGTCGAGTTGTCGTCGTTTTGTCGTCGACGTCGAGTTGTCGGCTTCGTCGTCGTCGTCGTCTCGTCGTCGTTTTGTCGTCGTCATCGTTGTTTTTTCGTCGTTGAGTTGTCGTTCTCGTCGTCGTCGTCATTGTCGTTTTGTCGTCTTCGTCGTCGTCGTCGTCGTCGTCGTCGTCTTTGTCGTTTTGCCGTCGTCCTCGTTCTCGTCCGTCGCTTCAAGTTCGATCAGTTTTGTACAGGGCTCACGGGAGGGGGAGGAGGGCCGAAGGAGGAGACGATACCGATATCGTTGCTTGTCTTGGAGAGTCCTCGTCACCACGGCTGGATCCGTCTCGAAATTGTCAGATCGTTCTCCAGGATGGGTCTGGGGGGACTCGTTTGCCCCCCCCCCCCCCCCAAGTTTGAGAGAGACCCAGTTGAGAGCGCCGCGCTGGCTGGTCGGTCAGGACTCGGTCGCTGAGTGGTTTGCACTCGGGCGGGGTGTGCTCCCCTTCGCCGCAGCCTTGTGGTGGTTGTTGGCAATGCCCAGGCCTGATCGTCCATTCGCCGTGCCCTGTCGCAAGTGCACGGGCACCTCGGAACACCGCCGTGGTGTTTCCGAGCGCCACTTTCCCTGGCCAGCCGACTGAGCGGATGGGCTCCAGGACGTTGCGCTCGAGATCCGATCTCTCGGCTCCGATGTCACGGCTCTGACCGCTTGGGCTTCTGTTACTGAGATGATTTGGGCAGCCCACGCCCCCGTCAGTTGCATTCGGATGCAACTCCTGGGAGGTCAGATTCTGATTTTGCCCTGGTCCGAAATCTGGCTTAATCCCGCTTAATCCGAGGCCCACTCCGGCGTAACAGCTTCCAAATGAGCTTAATCCTCCTTAATCTTCCCGACGAATACATCTCAGTAGTTGCCTCCTAAGTTGCAGGAGCGCCGATGCCAGAGGCAACCTTCGGGTGCTGAACAACCAGCCGGGGTTTGGGGGAGGGTACCGAGTCGCCACCAATCTCCGCCACGGGGGCGCGCAGCGCCCCGCCAGGTAACGCGCTCCTCCTCCTGTTCCTCCTCCCGCTGCCCACTCCCTCCTCCCTCCCCATCGCTCTTCCCGCCTTCCTCACTGCTCGTTTCTCCTCCCGCCTTGACCTTCTCCCCCCCACTCCTCCCCCATCCCTCTCCAGCCGTGATCATCGTCCCGCCCTCCCTCCTGCTGCCCCCCGCGCCGGTCGTCCTGTCGTTCAGAAGGGCGCTCTCGCCTCACCCTGGGCCACGTTTCCCGATCCGAGTCCCTTTTCGTCGTCGTCGCCCTGGGTTTTCCCCGTTTCCCCTCATTTCCTGCGTTTTCCCGTGGGATTTCCCCGTTTCGTCCCTCATTCTCTTCCTGCGTTTTCCCCTGGTCCTCCTGCTCCTCCCACGGCTTCCACACCAATTCCTGCTGCTGCTGTTCGTCCTTGTCCTCCTGCTTCCTCACCTCCTCCTCCTCCTCCTCCTCCTCCTCCTCCTCATCCTGCTCATCCTCATGTTCACCCGCCACCTCCTCTTATGTACGCAGCTCCCCGTTGCCCCACTGCGCACAATACGATGGCGACTTTTGCGGAGTTCCAGCTCGGCCATTGCCGCCTCCGCGGACAGAGAACGCCTCAGCGCGATAGGCAGGGATGGGAGGGAGGGAGGGGATGTGGCGCGTGCGCGCCTGATCAGCCTGCCCCCCTCCCTCTCTCCTCATCCACCCACTCCACCTCCGCCTCCCTCCTCCGTACCCCCCCCCATCGATCCTCCCTCTTGGCCGTGCCGCGGCAGCGGGAGCTCGAGGCGTCTAAGCTGGCGGGCCGACGGGCCCGCGCGCGGACCCCGACAGACGCGCGGCCGAACGGGAGAGATTGCAAGGACTGAGGGCACGGACACGCAGCGGCAGCCAAAGAGGTACGCGCCGGTCGTTGAAGCCATGCATGCCTGGATTCCCAGGCCCCAACCTTCTTCAAGCGCCTTTCTCCTCGGATGATCGACATGTTTTTTGCTGTGTTTGGTAATTCGCTGGGAGGGCCTGGACCCAATCTGCTTTATCCGTCTTCCTACTTCATGTGTTGACCTACTTCTTCCGACCGACGGGTAACAAGAGAGGGCCATCCCACCTCTTTCAAATCCTCACCTCCTGGCCCCCAACGTTCCTTGTTTCAGGCAGGCTGCGAGGTGAACGTACCATCGTTCCTCTGCCTCCCCTATTGTTCCTTTATTGTCCTTTCTCCTTCACTTACCCGTTACTCTCCGCCTTCTGTTTCGCGTCGCCCGCTCCCCTTGTCGCTCCTCTTCCCCCCACCTTCCTCCCCTCTCCGTAGCCATGTTGGCTCAAGTCCGCAACGGGAGTCTCGTGATGTGGGTTTTTGGCGTGGAGAGTTCTCGCCCCCGAGAGTCACCTTTACTCTTTTTCTTTCGCTTCAGCACACTGCCAGTCTGTTTTTTGGATTGAGGTGTGATACCCCACCTGCAAGCTGGCGCAGTGTCGATGGCACCCCATGGTTTCCAGAAGCGTCGGTTGCAGAATGCGCAGTAGTGGCTGTGCAAAGGATGCACTCATGAAACAACTAGACAGCGGTGGTGGAATCACTCGGACGCTAAGCCTTGTGCTGTGTGCCATGGTGACACAGGCTCATGCTTCCTCGGCAACCGCGTGCCAAGTGGTGGGGCCCCCCAGTTCCTGCCAACTCTGCGCTGCTCGAGCGGAAGGCCACGGCTGAACACGACCGCGCGCAGGAGCAGCTGTCCGTCCAGTCCCGCGATATTGCCAAGCTTAAAATAGCCCTGGCAGTTAAAGACGGCGCGATGGATGTCGATGGGCCGGAGTTTGATTCGCAGGGCTGTGACACGGAGCCGGTCGCAGCAACTCAAGCACTCGGGTTCCCGAGCAATCCATATCTCATTCGGACTAACGAAGAGTTGGAAGAAACGCTGCGAGGCGCTTGGGCCATAGCCTTGGACCCAAAGCCCGTTGGAGCGAAGCTGCGCGCCATCGCCAACATATGCATTGTTCTCGAAAGGAAACGCGGCCGCACGCAAGCCAACCTGTCTAAGCTCAACGATTAGGCGGCGAAGCTCCAAGTATCCATCGCAGAAGCTCATTGCACAGCCTTCGGCGCGGAACCGCGCTCCGAACCCTAGCTCAAGGCTGTAATCGAGCGTTTCGTTGGTGCGGTCGGTGGGTACGCCAAGAAAGCTTGCACTTCGGCATGCTTGCGGGCTTGGATGCACTGTTGCAGCGGAGGCCGCGTTACGTCGTCTACTCCTGTGCTGTTGCCGTGCGAGCGCGCGCCCCCTCCTGTCCCGGGCCCGCGCCTGCCCTGCTTCAGGGGGCGGCCGGGAGCTGCGCGGAGCGCTGCCCGCGGCACAAGCCCGAAGTCGGGCAGTTGTGGGCAGCCTGCGGTGCATTGCCCAGTCGCACTTCGATCGGCGTCTGCCGCTAGCTGATAGCTGGACGGTGTCGAGGCTGCATCCATCCAGTTGTGATCGGCGGACTTCGTCTTCTTGAGCGTGGCCGCGGGCGCGCGAAGCCTCGTCGGCCCCGGGCTCGCGCCCGCCTTGTGAGGGGGGGTAGGCATTGTGACAGTCGGGAGCTGCAAAGTGCGCAGCGCACCCCCGCCGCACAAGTTGCGGGCAAGGCTGCTGCGGGCGCCCTGCGACAAATGGCCCATGGGCGTGCTCGGTTCATGTTTCTCGGCGCCCTGGCTTGTCTGATGCCCCACATGCCCGCGGTCGCAGTCGTGGGGGCGCTCCGAGACAGGCGGGTTATATGCCAAAGGCGCTCGCGCGCCGAGGCTCGCCCTGCCCGACTGCGCTTCGCCGCGGTTTGGGTCGGCGCAGAAGCTTGAGCAGTCGCCCGGCAGATGTCTCCCTCGTCAGGTTGGCGGTCATGTCAGTGGGGTTGCTTGCGTCTCTGGTGCATTGCCTGTAAATCCTGGGTTGACCCAGGTTCAGCGTCGTCATGAATGCCGGCGTTCCGACGTGAGCCTGAGAAACCAGATGCCCGTGCATTTGCTGTTTCAGCAAATGCCTCCACGCGCGGTCCGTTGATTGACCGCCTGGGTTCGGCAGTCTTGAATGACGTAGTTGCGCTCGCCCAAGAACGCCATGCTGCGTCTCGCAAGTTGGCCGCTGTGCAGGCGAAAGGCTCGGGGCGAGGGCCCTGCCGGGGTCTGGTCCGTGGCGGTAGCCATAGGGCGCGGCGGCTCAACTTGTGGCGCGGCCATCTTGGCCCCGACATGCGCGCCGGCCGCGGGCCCTCCGCCGCCGCCCCCAGCTGAGTCCGTCCTTGGACGCGCGGCGACCGCCAAGCTGCACCGGGGACGCCCCCCGGTTACTGCGATATCCAACGTGCGCATGGTGGCCGATTGCGGCGTGAACGGCGAGACTTGGCGTCCTCGAGGCGCTGGTCTCCGGCCTGCAGATGCGCGACCAGCTGCAGGAGCAGTGGGTCGTGGGCGGCGACTGAAACATGGACTGCCCCGAGCTCGACCAGCGGTTCTTCGCCGC